AAAAAAAAAAAGATCTTGAAAGGTACAAAAACCAAATAGATATCAAACTTCTCATAAGGAAACTAGTCTCTAGAAAACAATGAAACAATAACTTTAAATCTTAAAGGAAAATCATTTCAAATTTGAAGATGTATATCCAACTATGGATCAAAAGTTAAGGTAAGTAAAGACATTTTGAAAAATGTTAGAACTCTAAAAAAAAAAATTTATCACTCATGGTACCGTGTATGAAAAGAAATCCGTTCAGCAGTACAAAAAAGAAATAGAAGGAAAAAGGGAAACTGCGCTTACATTTTTTTAAAAGTAAAGAAAGAAAATAGATTTATTGGGTCTTGAGGCCTGGGATGTTATTCTTCAAGCAGTAGGAGTTTAGCAAAGTAAAAGTGTATTTCTGCCTCCCCTACAGGTAGAACACACTGCTTAATCCTCAGCAAATAAATATAGCACCATAATACTGTTTATATGGTTCCCAGATGGTTTACATTTTTTAACTTAACTTACAGAAAAAGCATAGAAGGCTTAATTACAATTACAGTACAGAATGTAAATGTTAGTAACCTTTACTATAATAATAAAAGTAAAAGTATAAGAGAACAAAAGGCAGGTGAGGGAAGAGAGTGGGGATGGAGGGCACGTAAGCATGCTAAATAAACTCAACACCAAAGACACAACCTGAAGTCAGAGGTTCTCAAACCTTTTGGTCTCAGGACCCGTATAATACTCTTAAAAAAGTACTGAGGACTCCTCTCACCACTAGTGAATGCCTGTTTATGTAGGTTACACTGATATTCACCATATTAGAAATTAAAATAAACTTTAAATAGCTATTTTAAAATTATTTTTAAAATAGCAATAAACCCATGATAAGTTTAACATAAACATATTTTTATGAAAAACTAATTTCCAAAGCAAAATAAGGTTAAGTGAAAAGAAGAGCATTGTTTTACATTTTTGTAAATCTCTTTAGTGAGTGGCTTAACAGAAGATCATTAAATTCTCGTATTTGCATCTGCACTCAATCTGCTGAAACATGCTGTTCTGGATGCAGCATACAGAAAAATCCTGCCTCACAGGGATATGTGTTTGGAAAGAGAAGGATCTGGCAGACACCCTGACAGGGTATCAGGGACTACCAGAAGTCCTTAGACCATGACTTTCAGAATCTCTTTCGAGGTAAAGAGTTTCAGCCTAAGCATAGTAAGTTGAAAAATAAAATTATAAAAATATTTTAAGCTACCGTCATGGTAACTACCAGAATAACTTACTTAAAAATCAGTGAAGTTCATTAAAAAGAGTTTACGCATAGTAAGTTGAAAAATAAAATTATAAAAATATTTTAAGCTACAGTCATGGTAACTACCAGAATAACTTACTTAAAAATCAGTGAAGTTCATTAAAAAGAGTTTACCTCTGAAGAGTTGCTTTTGGAAAGTAAGAGAAAACAAGGAGAATAACTTTTCATTTTATAGTTTTCTTCATATTCCATTTGAATTTTTCTCCTTATATACAGTTATTACGTAAAAAACTTTAAAACTACTTAAAAATTTTCAAGGACAACCTTCATCAATGGGCAACTGTATCCCCATAAGACTGCACTAAATATTTCTCCTCTTGTCCTCAGGCACTTCTAAAATACACTTATCACTATGCTGTAAGTGCACATTGACTTATCTGCTTCACCAACCAGATTGTCAAGTTCTTAT